AAAAAAAAAAAACGGAATTTTTCAGCCTTGTCAGGAGCTGATTCTTTTTGTCTGTTATACTTTGTGTTTGGTAAGAATTCATTGGTTAAGTTCCATTTTTAAAGCATTTTTTAGCCCCCTAAAGAAGAGTAGTCTGGTATGTATTTTATCAATCTCAATGTAACCAAATTGAATATATTTCTTCGACAATTTTCTCTCTCCTTAATTATCCACTGAAACTAAGCTCTTTCACAAGTATTGTAACCAATAAATTATATTTTTTAGAGTTATGGAGCTTTAGTTTCTTTCAATTTTCCTGAAATCTTGTTAACAAGTAAAACCATTTCACTTTATCTCTTTGGGATTTTATAGCATGGCATAAATATTAATGAGAGTTCTGACAAGTTAGAACTGCAGGATTCGATGCCTTTTTTCTTCCCTCATCATCCCACTTAGCGTTCATCTTTCTGAATGTGCTTTGAGAAGATGGCATTTTGACACATAATTCCTATGGAAATGTAGGTTTTACTTTTACACAGCCATCAGTGAATGCTAATAAGAGAATGTACCTTTTAAAGCTGTGAAAGCAACAGTCTGATTTTGTAGTTTAAATGAACTTGGTGAGGAAACATAATTTGCATTTTCTGTAGAGCACAAATGCCATGTTATTGTTAGGAGTGTTGCTCAGTCCAAAGCTGCACTTTAAATACACTCAATAAAAGCACGAGCCAAAAGTAACTTCAAATTGAATGTATCCCAAACTGTAAAGCATTCTGCTTTGGTTTCCTCCCTTTTGATTTGTTTCTTTTATAAGTTTTAAAAACAGGAAGGTTCTTAGGAGTACGACGTGGCCGCTACATGAATGAGCTAGGGCACTGTGTAAGTGACAAAGGAAGTTACTCAGGGTAAGTTGTTAAGTGAAAAACAAGTGCAAAACAGAATGGATGCATGGCCCTCTTTCTCTTAAAAGTAGTAATTACCGAGGTGTGGGTAGCAGTCATTACACAGAAGCGTCTGGCTGTCTGGATGGAAGTATATCAAAATATGTGACAGACTGTTACAGGAGCTGTGGTAAGAGAAATTTGGCTTTATCATACACTGTATGATATTTCAGTTTTTGTAGTAGATATATACTATGTTCCTACCAAAGATTGTTATTTTCCTGGAGTTGTTTAAAATGTCATTTTAATTGGGGCAAAATAAACATAAAATTTACCATCCTAACCATTTTAAAGTCTACAGTTCAGTAAAGTACATTATTGGGCAAATAATCTCTGGAACTCATTTCATCTGACAAAGCTGAACCCCGCTCACCCTCCTCCCAGCCCCTGGTAACAGCTCTTCTACTTGTTATCTCTGTGAATTTGAATATTCTAAGTGTGGTATCATACAGTATTTTTGTCACTGGCATATTTCAAAGTTAGTTTGTTTGGTATCAGAGATCGAACTCAGTATCTTGTGCTTGTGAGGCAGGCGGTGGAACCACTGAGCTAAATCCCCAGCCCTTGTTTTTGTTTTTAAAATAAGAACAGCACATTCTCTGGGCAAAGAAATGAATAGTCACTTCATAGTTAGGTAATACAAAGAAATATGAAAAAGTATTCAAAAATATGCATTACCGGGCTGGGGATTTAGCTCAGTGGTTCTGCCGCCTGCCTTGCAAGTGCAAGGTCCCAAGTTCGATCCCCAGTACCAAAAAAAAAAAAAAAGTTTCTAAAAAAGAAAATGCATTACCAAAACTTTTTTGGTTAACAAAAAATTGTAAAAACTACTAGTACTCAGTGATGGTACTGCAACACTAAAGCACAATTGGATGCCCTGTAATTGGGAATATTTTCCTGACAGTTTGATCAAGTGTATCAAGAACTTTTTAATAGTAAGCAGACCCTTTCATCCATTAGCTCTGCTTCTTAGAAGTCAGCCTAACCATATATGGGCAAAGATTTATGTTTAGTAAAAGTGTCCAGTACAAAGTTATTATATACTTATTATTACCAGCTAGAAACCACATCAGTGTTTATATAAATTATAGTACACCTTTGCCCATCATTCTACGTGGGGTGACAAAAGGGTTGTATCTGAATTTTGGGAGAGGTGTTTAGTTTGTAAAATTATCATTAATTTGATTCATTTTAAATGTCAAGTAACAACAAAGAAATGTATATAATTTATATATATGTATACATATATATGTGTACACACACACACACATATATCAATTGGAGATTGTACTTTTTTTTGGTATCAGGGATCGAACTTGGGTCCTTGCGCTTGCAAGGCAGGTAGCAGAACCACTGAGCTAAATCCCAGGCCCAATAGGACATTTGTACTTTACAAGATTTATATTATGGAATCTTATACATACCTTAAATTTGCAGTAATTTTAGTGATACGATAAAAGGCACATGATAAGCAAAATAGGGATTGAAACTTGTGATTGCAGAACGATCTCAACTGTGAAAAAATACATTTTTAAAAAGCAGTTAAATACGCCAAAATGTTAACTGTGTCTGCCTTTGGGTAGTAGAATATTTAGTTAACCTTTTTATATTGTTCTATATCAATTCTCTGAGATGAGTATGTGGAACTTTTTATAATTGGGAAAATACACAATATATAGATATTTTAAAGGGTAGATTCCAGAAACAGTTAGCTATGTCATTCTTCTAAGAATTCTACTTAAATTCCAGGGCTTTAGGATCAGACACTGGAGGATCAACCCGAAATCCTGCTGCCCACTGTGGGCTTGTTGGTTTTAAACCCAGCTATGGCTTAGTTTCTCGTCACGGTCTCATTCCCCTGGTGAATTCGATGGATGTGCCAGGAATCTTAACCAGATGTGTGGATGATACAGCAATTGTATTGGGTATTTATCTGACTCCTTATCATTTGAAACAATTTCACTGTGAAACAATTTCGCTGTAAAACAATAGGCCTGTTGCACATAAATATTTCTTACAGGTGTACTGGCTGGACATGACCCCAAAGATTCTACTACAGTGCAAGATCCTGTTAAACCATTTACGCTTCCCAGTTTGACAGATGTGAGCAAACTGTGTATAGGAATTCCGAAGGTAACTTCTTTCTTTCGTAACTTTTTAGGAAAACTGCTAAATCAAATACATAGCCAGACTTGGGAAGCAGATTGGCTAAGCTTGAATCTGTACACTGCCACTTTTATTAGTAATTAAGCACATGACCCAATCTCTCCAAACACTATTTCCAAAGTGGGAATAATAAAAATATTGCAATAGAATTATGAACATTAGAATATTATGTAAAACAAGGATCTATAAACTTTTCTGTAAAGAGCTAGATAATAAATATTTTAGGCTTTGTGGATCATATGGTCTTGTTGACTCAGCCACTATAGTGAAAAAAACCAGACATAGACAATATGTAAGGAATACTAAGTGTGATCAAAACATATAGTGAATGTTTAAGGCTTTAAAATTTATTACAATAAAAGATATATTGCCATTAATTACCCTCAAGATACTCTCCCTCTTTCAGACATACTAATCCCATCATAACTGGCACTTTCTGAAGCAGTTCTGGTAATCTTTCATGAGTATCTTTGAGGTGTGATAAAAAATATAGTGAATGGCACTGCCATCCAATGAAAAGGCAGATTTATACAGTTATGGTGTGCCCCCATCCACCTTATTTATTGGATATGGCACCTTGAAATTTCTGGCTCATCCCCAAAGTCAAAATGGTCATGGAGAGAGTAAATGATTTCAATCGAGGCAGCCAGGACAGTGCAACTAAAGGTACTCAAAAAAGGACTTCTAGATCTACTTCAGAAAGGCCAGTGTGAAATGTGTTTGAAGCAAGGGAGAATATTTTGAAAGGGATTATTGGCAATGTGTCTAACTAACACTTTTTAAAAATGTAAACATTCACCTTATCTTCCAGTCATACTTTGTATGATTGTACTGTATAAAACATTTTTTAAAATATGTGACTGGCCACATCTTGCCCATGGGCTAATCCCTGATGTAAATGACTTAGCTGCCAAAAGCATACAACACATCTGGTGTATGGCCTCACTAAATGTTATCTTTACTATTATTATTACTGCTGCTGCTACTCCATGTGTTACAGTAACAACCCATACGTGGATATATTAATGTTAACTTGTTGGCTTTTCAGAAATTAAAAAATTTAAACCTAGCAATATATTAATGATTAAAACTTTCTGTAAGTCTTTTTGGAAGATAAGTCACACTTCAGAATAAGAAGTTTCTTAGCCTCAGCACAGCTGATGTTTTGGGGTGGGTGATTTTTTGTTGTGAGGGAATGTCCTACATATTGTGAGAAGTTCAGCCACATCCCTGGCCTTCACCTCCAGATGCTGGTAGCACCCCCACCACCAATCACAACCCCAAATCCCTTCAGACATTCCCAAGTTTCCCTTGATCCAGAAACATAAGGCAACATTTGCTCCCGGATGAGACCATTCATGTAGAGAAATGCTACTTTCTTCAGTCTTTCTTTATGGAAATCATCTGTGCCTTCTTTTAAAGACAGAGAGATCACAAGCTTTAGAAACAGAACTAGTTTGGAATCCTACATCCTCCACTGACTGGCCATATAATAGCAGAAGAGTTAATAATCTTCTCTAGTCTCAGTAGTTCTCATTCATAAAATAAGGGATGGTAAGACCTACTACATAATGGGTTAGCAAGGGCATTAAGTGAGGGAATGTTTGAAAAGCATCCAGCCAAGTACCTGATACTTATGGAACCTTTAAGAGATACAAAGTCTCCAACCAGATCTCCAATGTTTAAATTGTCATATCCTGCTAATGATGTCTAATGCTGTGCTTCTCCTGCCATAAACACTCTCGGTTTGCTCTTTTATCTTCCTACCAGCAGTAGTAGCCTTTTTTCTAGTATACTGCCAAAGTTGTGATGTACAAACTGTGAAACTATCTACTGTGTAGCCGTTCCAGTTTCTGTGCCTTGACTTTTACCTATAAGGAATATGCTGTACCTGAACTATCCAGTGAAGTACGATCTCTCTGGTCCAAAGCTGCTGGCCTCTTTGAGTCTGCAGGAGCCAAAGTGATAGAAGTATCCCTGCCTCACACCTCTTGCTCAATCGTCTGCTACCATGTATTGTGTGCCTCAGAAGTGGCATCGAACATGGCAAGGTTTGATGGGCTAGAATATGGTAAGATGGCTGGGTTTTTTGCCTGTCTTGTTTGTAACATAATTGTATCTCTGACATTTGAGAGATTCCTTTATTAGTGATAAAATTTTTTTTTCCTGAAGTCAAGTTGATGATTGAGAAAAGCAAGTAAGGGAATCCTTCTACCTTTGTCATTGTAGCTTTGTGTTATGCTATTCATCATAAATCTCTTCATATTTTCCACTCACTTCTCTGGACTGTAAATATTTTAAAGGAATAATATCTTCTTGTCTGTGTGTTCCCCGGCCAGTGTCATGCCTGAGACATAATAGGAGCTCAGTAAACGTTTGGCTGGGTGGAGAGACGGATGGATAGATGGATGAGGGGACAATAAATAAAGTTTTTCTTGGTTATTTCCTTTTCTTTCCATGATCAGACAGTAACAAAGCAGATAGACAAGGCAAACTAGTAGGAGCAAGTTCCCTGACTTTCAGTATTGGTCACAAAAGTGTAAATCTAGGCTGTTTTCAGCCAGAACTTTACTGCCTTTTGAAGTAATACGTGTCTTTTTTTGTTTCAGGTCATAGGTGTGACATTAATGTGTCTACTGAAGCCATGTATGCTGCCACCAGGCGAGAAGGGTTCAGTGATGTGGTGAGAGGGAGAATTCTTTCAGGAAACTTCTTCTTACTAAAAGAGTAAGACGATTAGTTTAAAATTTTTCTCTGTTCTCGAAATTTCAAGTGTAAAGCAGTAAGTAGCACATCCATCAAGTCTTACCAGTCAAGGTAGTAAAATACTTATGATTTGAATTAGAAAAGTCCTGTTTATGACACTTTTGCTTCCTACTTATTCAAAATCTTAAAAGAAAAAGGATCACTATAAACCAAGTAGGAAGCACTGAAATATTGTAGCTTCCTTAATTGTCCTGTGCCTGTTATTACCACATTGGCTTTTTGCTGTTGGAGCCTTAAGCAGGGAGTTATATTATTTCTTGAAAAATTTACTGAATCAACTTAGTTTTTTTCCCTGCATTATGTGTATTTTTCTTCAAGAAAGAATTCCACTTACCCAGGTGTGTTGGCATATGTCTCTCATCCCAGTTCTCAGGAGGCCGAGGCAGGAGGAGCACCATGAGTTTTGAGGCCAGCCTGGAGGACTACATAGTGAGGCAACACTGTACTAAAAAAAAAAAAAAGAAAGAAAGAAAAAAAGAAAAGAAAGAATTCCAAATTCTACGTAAATTGTCTTCAAGTTTATTCAAGAGCATGTGAATAAGATTCCTCTTACCTACCAGTCTAAGAAGACAATGGAAAGTAAAAAACCAACAGTGGCCTAGCATGGTGGGGCAAGCTTATAATTCCAGTAGCACTTTGAGAGGATGAGGCAGGAAGATGGCAAGTTCAAGCCCAGCCTGGGAAACTTAGTGACTGAGACTTTATCTCAAAATAAAAAAGGTCTGGGAATATGGGGATATAGCTCAATACAAAGCCCATGGTTCAGTCTCCAGTACTACAAAACTAACTAATATTTGTAAATAGAGAAGGGAGGAGGTGAAGGGAGGGCAGGGATAAGGGGGAAAAAATGAGAACCAAGACCTGTCATGTAAAGGTACAAGATCCCAATGATGAATGTAACTGTACTGTATCCCTAAAATGTACCAATAAACTCAATGAGAGAAAAACAACTACATAATAATTAATTTTAAAAAGGCAAGTGGTTATTATAGACAAGTCACTTCCTAAAGTTTTTCTCCATGCTTTCCAGGCCAGAAAGCATATGTACCCATCTGTTTATCCACTCGTGGCCAACAGTTAGGGTTTACTTTTTCCAAAAATATGATGTGATGTTATTCCATATTAAAAGACTCTTCTGCATTTGAACAGGTGCTTGTAATCACTTTTGAGTATGAAGGATGAAATATTGCTAAGAAATTTTCTAAGTTAAGACTTTATTAAGCTAAAGGTATTACATTTAGCTAGGCATGGTAGCACATACTTACAATCCCAGCATTTGGGAGACTGAGGCAGGAGGATCTCAAATTTAGAGCCAATTTGAGTTACATAGTTAGGCCCTGTCTCAAAAAACAAAATAAATAAAAAGATGTTATATTTGCCAACTATTACTGATTAGAATCATATTGGATATGTTAAGGCACAAGTTGATGGATTGTATCTGTCACTGTAATAGCATAGAAAGAAACTGAAGGAGAGGAATTTGAAAGCATCTTATATGATCACCAAATCAGAAGACTAAGAAAAAATGGAATTACTGCTGGTACCAGTAGTTCTCACCCAGTTGTAAGTGGGATCAAGTTATTTGTTTCTTGTAGTTTTTTTATCTTGTGGCAGGAATGGTGGGTGAACTTGAGTGATAGGAAAAATGGGATCGGGATACTTTTTTTTTTTCCTGAAGTGCTCAGAACTATAAAAAGTCTTAACATTTTTATTCCTCAGATAGCTTAGAATCTTACATTCTTCTCTGAACTTTTATTCCATAAACATAAATTTATTGAATTAGGAATCTGAAGTTTATTTTTAATTAGCATAAATGTTTCTTTCTGAACCACATTAAGTCTATTTGTTGCACCTGTTCTTTCTCTCCTTTAACCTTTTTTCCTACCTTCTGTTATTCTTTCTATAATATTTTTTTCTCTTAGATATTTTTCTTGAATTTTAAAAAATGTTACTAGTACATGTTTGCACTAGGGGATTCAGTACATGTGCCTAACACATCTTAGTTCCCTTTACTGTCCTTGTACTGTTCCTTCTGCTCCCTCCATCCCTTGGTCCCCTTTCCATTTGATAAAGATCTATCTTCCTACTGCCTATCATCCATTTTTTTATCTTGCTCTTTAAATTATTTGTACTTTGGGTCTCTCTAGACTATATTTGTGTCTCATTTATTTCATTTAGCATTATGGGCTCAAGGCACATCCATTGTGTATAGACACTACATTTTCTTTGTCCATTCATCTGTTGAAGAACATATAGGCCACTTCCAAGATTTAGCTATTATGAGCCATGCTGCTATAAACATGGGTGTGCATGTATCAGTATGACATGATGTCTTTAACTCTTTCAGAAAGATACCTAAAAGGGGAATGGCTGGATCAAATGGAATTTTTAGTTTTAGATGTTTTGGGTTTTTTTTTTTTGGTACTGAGGATTGAATTTGGGTCCTTGCGCTTGCGAGGTAGGCAGTGGCACCACTGAGCTAAATCCCCGGCCAGCTAGTTTTAGTTTTCTGAGAAATTTCCATAGTGGTTGTACTAGTTGACCTTCTCACCAACAGTGTAGAAAGATTCCTTTTCCCCCAAAACCTCACAGTGTTTGTTCTTATTTGATTTATTTTCTTTTTTTTTTCTTTTTTTTTTTTTTTTTTTTTTTTTTTTTTTGGTACTGGGAATTGAACTCAGGTCCTTGTGCTTGTGAGGCAGGTGCCGGAACCACTGAGCTAAGTCTCCGGCCCTTGATTTCTTGATGATACCTATTTCTTCTGGGACAAGATAGAATCTCATTTCTCTAATGACAAGCAATGTTGAACATTTTTTCATGTATTTATTAGCCATATTAAAGAGATTTAAAATAAAGTAAAAAGGGGGCATTATATTTTGCATTCACATATACTGTTTCTGGTTCTTTGTTTTGTAGCTCCAGATTTCCATGCATTATTATTATTTTCTTTCTGGCTAGAGAACCTCCCCCAAAATATCTTAGCTTCAGCTTTTTTGTTTCCATGTTTAAAAAATTGCCTTTAATTTTGTTTTTAATTTTGCCTTTAAAGGTACTTTCTATATAAAATTCTAGGTTAATAGTATTTTCCTTCAGTGCATTAAAGGTTGTATTCCTGGCTTCTGGCCTGTAGTTTCTAGAAATTTATTGTGTTTCTCATATTTGTGTGATTTTCTTGTGTGATTTTTCACATTTTCTCTCTGTCATTGGTTTTCAGAAATTTAAGATGTGCCGTAGTGTACTTTTCTGAGTATTTCTTCTGCTTGGGGGTTCTTTGAGCTTTTTGGGTTCTCTAGATGTTCCAAGTAGGTTTTCTTATCCCTCCATTTCTTCATTGTTTTCTTCTATCTTGACTACATAGAATACATTGGGAGGCCTTTTTGTGTTCTTAACCTGCTAGTTCCAATATTGCTGTCATCTGAATCTGTTTGTAAACAATGTTGAACTTTGTTCTAGGGCACAGATTTATGGTTTGTCTCTAGGTGGCCCCAGGAGTATCCTGTGCTCAGGGCAGGGCTTTGGGAGGTGACTGGCTTCTCTGTGGCGGAGGGCCTGGTCGGAAGAGGAGGCTCACTAGGGACCTGACTGGAAGGCTCTGTCTCCCTTCCCGGCTCCTGCCGTGCCCTCTGCTCTCCTAGCCAGCAGGAAGTGGGAAGCTTCTTCTGCATGTGTTTCTGCTGCTCTGTTTCTTTTCTGGAGACCACAGACTGAAATGTGAATGAAAATAAAGCTATCCTGTACATTGTGGCTATCAGGTATTACATCCCAGCAATGAGAAAGTAACTAAGACAAGTTACTTGGAATATATTGGAGCCTTTCAGCACTTTCTTTTAAGCTGTCTGAAGTCCAAAGAAGCCTTTGGTTTGTGGCTAATTTAAGTCTAAGGCAGTACCACAAAGATGCTCCCAGAGTCTACATCTATTACAAGGTCTTTCCACTTTGCAGCCCTATATGAGCTGTGAGAATTGTTTGACCTCTTGTTCTTTGAGGGATTCTTTCCTCACCCTGGGGCTTTCTTTTCTTCCTTGCACAGATCAGTCAATACTCAACCAAAGACTTGAGGGACATCTGTATGTCTCTTCAACCCTGTTTGCTGCTCTCCTTTCAGACCTCTAGAAATTCCAGCTTTTTTTCTCCCTGAACTTTAGATTTTTGCCATCTGACTTGCTGAGACCCACGTCCCCTCTAGAAACACTGTCTAGGTTCTCTTTTTGGATTGAGCCATGAAAATTACCTCTGGGCGTTAAACTGGAGAGATGACAGGATTAGCTTCTTGTTTGCCTCTCTCAGGACTCTCCTGAAGGCCTTTGTTTAATGTCTGAAAATGACCGTTTCATATATTTTATCTAGTTTTCTGGTTAAGAAGGCAGGATAAATCTTATCCCTATTGTTTCATTATGTGTGGAAGCAGAAGTTCTATTTCTGAACCATACTTAAAGTAGGAAAAATTAAATAGCATTAGTTTTATAAAATTCAGGTTTGGGGAATGTTAATACAATAAATTGTGTGTGTGTGTGTGTGTGTGTGTGTGTGTGTGTGGAACCTGAACTAACCTTCAAACCCAAATGTAATAGTTAAACCATCACCTCTCATTTTGTCATCTGAAGTGTATGTGAAGCCCAAATTCATGTCTGTATAGACTCTAGTCAAGTGGTATTGAGGGTATCTGACATTCACATCGCACTGTGTAGGGTAAAAAAAAAGATTTTAGATGTTTTATTTCATTTGATTCAGTCCTCAGTGGGACTGGAGTGATTATATTCCTTTCTCTAGTTGAGGAAACTGAAGTTTAGAATAATTCTTTGTTACCCTTCTTTAACCAGTTTCAGAAAATCTGAAGTTTTTTTCTTCCTTTTCTTTGTATCACTGACCTATGTTCATTTTTATATCTCTTTTCTCTTAACCTGTGGTAAAGTAAGTATCCTTTAAGATCATATCTCCACTCCTGGACCATGCTATCCATAAGATACAAATTTGCAAATACTGTATGCTTTTCCCAGTTTCTGTTTGAGGAGTATTTCTTAGTGTCTAATTCAGACAACATGTTAGAATTTTGTCAGACCTCAGCCCCTTGTAGTAATTTAGCTATCATTACACTGTAGATGAAAGAATAGAAGATTGGATGAGCCTCTAGAGGCCTGTGTTCTTTTCCATTCTACTGCCTGTTTTTATAACTTTCAGAAAGTTATTTAATTGCTATGCATCTGATTTTCCTCACCCAAAAGTGAACTTTCTGGTTTAGTGTTGTGATTATAGGTGTAGAACTGTATCTAGGAGTGAAATCTGATTAATTGCCAGATATACAGACTTTCAGAATGACAGCCCAGTGAACACAATTCACCTTTATACATTATTAAGAATCTCAAGGGTGCTGGGCCTAGTGGCACACGCTTGTAACCTCAACTACTCTGGAGGCTGGGCAACTGAGAACTTGTCTCGAAAAGAGCTGGGGTGGGGTATAGCTTAGTGACAGACTCCCTCCCTGGTGTGCACAAGGCCCTGCCTTCCATCCCTAGCACTGCAAAAGAAGGAATCCTTGTAGCGCATGTCGTAAAAGCTGAGAAACCTGTGGTTCTTTAATATACCTAATGTAAGAGAATTGATTTGAAGCGAAATATCTTCTATTTTTTTCCCACAGAAACTATGAAAATTATTTCATCAAAGCCCAGAAAGTGAGGCGCCTCATTGCAAATGACTTTGTGAATGTGTTTAACTCTGGAGTGGATATCTTGCTAACTCCCACCACCTTGAGTGAGGCGGTGCCTTACCTGGAGTTTATCAAAGAAGACAACAGAACACGAAGTGCCCAAGGTGATATTTTTACACAGGCGGTAAATATGGCAGGTGAGCATCACTGAAGGATATTCTGGCTTTCTTAAAATTCTTAGGCAGTCTCCCTGACCCTCAGTTAGGCTCTAGATAGATGGTTCCCTGAAGCAATAGCCTATCGTTCTGGAATAGTAAGGAGTGTGTGTGTGTGTGTGTGTGTGTGTGTGTGTGTGTGTGTGTGTGTACACTCTTGTTTTCACACACATACACATATTTTTTTTTTTTTTGGTACTGGGGATTGAACTTGGGTCCTTGCGCTTGCAAGGCAGGCGGCAGAACCGCTGAGCTAAATCCCCAGCTACATCTATGTTCTGAACCAGTACATTTAATAGTATTTTAAAATTTTATTTCAAGAATGTTTAGCTGAATGTGGTGATACACACACCTACAATCCCAGCACCTGGAAGGCTGAGGCAGGAGAATCACTGTTTGTTGGAGGCCAACCTGGACTATACAGTGAGACCCTGTCTCAAAAAAGTTTAAAAAAAAGGTTAACGCAGAAACATTGAAAAAGCAATATAATGAACACTGACAGATTTTTTTTCACCTGGATTTGTCCTTGTTGACTTTTTTGTTGTTGTTGTTTTGTTTTGTTTTGGATTTTTGAGACAGGTCTCACTATGTAGTTGAGACTGACCTGGAACTCACTGTGTAGCCCAGGCTGGTCTCGAACTCGCAGCGATCCTCCTGCCTCAGCCTCCCGAGTGCTGGGATTATAGGCATGCGCTACCATGCCCAGCTTCTTATTGACATTTTCTGCCTCCCCCCGACCCAGACACGGGCGCATACACCCCCCCCACACACACACACATCACATTTTTTGCTATCATCTGAAAGTTTCAGATGCTGTGACACTTTATACCTAAATGATTTAGTACTGATCTCTAAAGACATGCTCCTACATAACCACAATCCCATTATCACACCTAAGAAAACTAATATTAATTCAGAAATAATGTGACTATATACCATATTCAAATTTTTTCAACTGTTCCAAAAATGTCTTTTTAAGTTGTTTTTTCCCTATGTATAGTTCGCTTGTTTATATCTTTTAAAAAAATCTAAGACAGTCACCCACATCTCTGGTGATTTTGTTTTTTAGAGCCACATCAGGCTATATAATTTTGCTTCAGTCATCAAGCGTACTATAACAAATTCAAGAAAAAAAGAAAAAAGTCTGTTGTGTTGGCCCATACTTTTGCTTTCTCTGTTTATTCCTCCTTCCTGAAGTACCAAGATCCACTCTTTTTTCTTTCCTGTATATTGAATTTCCTTTAGTTATTTTTCCAGTTTAGCCTGCTGGCAGCAAATTCTCTTCTCTTACCCTCTGAAAATGTCTTGATTGCTCTTTCCTTTGTAACAGTTTTTTGTTTGTTTGTTTCCTTTAAGTTTTTGGTTTTGTTTTAGCTAGATATCAAGTTCTGGTTTAACAGTTCTTATTTTTGGCACTTCAAAAAGTTGTGCCACTTTCTTCTGTCCTGCTTAGTTTCTAATGAGAAATGTGCTGCCTTTCATTTTTTCTCTTAATGTTTTTTTTGGAATGAGTTCCATCCAATTGTTCTGTGGGATATCCCATGCATAGTCTGCTTTTGTCCAATGATTTCTTTATAATTGGGTTGAGTTAAACATTTTTGGCAGATATACTACAGACATTTCATGCCATTAAACAGTTAATAGCATTTATCCCACTCCTGGAAGCTAAATTAATTACTCGGTTAAAGAAGTAACTGACAATATTTTTTTTCAATTTTTTCCCTTTAAAAGCACATTTTCCTCTTAATCATTTATAAGTAACTTGTGGAGTAATGCTATGAGATTAGTGAATATTTCATTCCCTTGTAATCTTGAGGTCAGCTTTAGCATCCATTGATGATGCTTACCTAGAGAATTATAAAATGTAGATTTCTCTAATTCCAACATTCCTTCTACAGCTACAACAACATTCTTTCTATTAGGTAGCAGCCTTCTCTAAATAAGAGCTTTCATCTTTCAAACAATTGGATCTGTTTTGTTTGTTTGAGACAAGGTCTCACTATGTAGTTCAGGCTGGCCTTGAACTCATAGCAATTCTCCTGCCTCATCCTCCTGAGTGCTGGGATTACAGGCATGCACCACCAATTAAAAATTGGATCTATTAAAAGCAGTTACTGTTGTTATTGTTTTCAATGCCCAGATTATCCCAAATACAGCCAGAAGGAATCTCTTCAAGTTGCTTGTATCCTTTAGATCTGTTCTCATTTTAATTTTTGAAAACTTGTGGCATAACAAGATGTCCTAGAATCTTGTACTGTCTGTCCCAAACCTAAAATTAAAATATCCCAGCAAATGCATTTAAAAACTAGAATTCAAACAATCGTAAGCTAGTTTCTTAAATATTGAATTGACAAACATTCAAAGGCTCAAGACACATGCTGTTGGCAAGACTGTAGGAAAAGAAACACTTGTTTCGCTGATGGGATTTCAAAATGGTACATCTTTGAAGAATTTCTAATTATATAAGTACTTATCACTTTACTTGATAAAGCAATCCCCTAGATCTTAGAAACTTTCAAGAGTAACAAAAATATATGTGTAAAAATTGTGTACTGTGGCATTGTATAAAAGAGCTAAATACTGAAAACAACCTAAATGTCTAACCATAGAAATTGTTATATAGTTTTACCATAACTTATTTAACCAGAGAACCACACAGTTGTAAAAAAGACAGTGAAGGTTTCTATGAACTGAAAAGTGATTTCCTTTTATTAGTGCCTATTAATTTCATGAAAGCATGTGAACATACATATTTTGATCACATCATTCCTTTCCCTCACAATCCCTTCCTCCGTATTCCCCTCTTCTTGTCTCATAATAGCTTCTCTTTTACCTTTCCATTGCCTTTTTTAGATTCCACATACTAGGAAGAACATACAGTGTTTGTCTTTCTCAGCCGTGGCTTATTTCGTTCAATATGACGATCCCCAGATCCATTCATTTTGCTTCAGATGACAACATTTTGTTCTTCATTATGGCTAAATACTATCCCATTGTGTACATATACCACATTTTCTTACGTTGATGGGCACCTGGGTATTGTGAATTGTACCACAGTGAACATGAGTGTGCAGGTGCCCCCATAGGGAGCTAACTTTAATTCCTTCCGGTATATACCAAGGAGTGATAAAGCTGGATCAAATCTAGTTACAGTTTTTTGAGAATACACCATACTGATACCTTTAGTGGCTATACTCATTTCCCACCAACAGTATAGAGTTCCCTTTTCCCCAGATCCTCATTAGCATTTATTTTTTGTATTCTTAAAGAGAGCCATTCTGACCAGAGAGATGGAATTTTAGTGTGGTTTTGCTGCATTTCCCTAATGGCTAAGGAGGTTGAACATTTTTTATAGTCACTGGCTATCTGCATCTCTTTTGGGCAATATATGTTCAATTCATGTGCCCCTTTATTGATTGGGCTATTTAACTTTTTGGTGTTAAGTTTTCTGAGTTCTTTATATATTCTAGGCATTAGCCCTCTGTTGGAAGAGTAGCTGGCAAAGATTTTCTTATTCTGTAGGCTCTTTGTTCTGTTGTTTCCCTTTCTGTGCAGAAACTTTTCAATCTGATGTAGTCCCACTTCTTGCTGTTATTTTCTGTGCTACTGGAGTCCTGTTCAGAATGTTTTGGCCTATGCATATGGCTTCAAGTGTGTCCTGTTTTCTTTTAGCAGTATCAAAACTTCAGATCTTATACCTATGAAACAGTGATTTCTGAGGTACACTGTTAAAGGAACAGAGCAGGGTGCAAAACATATATACTATATAGTATAATATTTCTGTTGTTATTTTAAAGCCTTATTCTGGATCGGGTGTAATGGTACACGCCTGTAATCCCAGCACTCGGGAGGCTGAGGCAGGAGGACTGTTGTAAGTTCAAGGCTGGTGTGGGTTACAGAGTGAGACCGTCTCAAAACAAACCCTCATAGTGAGCTGAAGTGAGATGAAGTGAGTTGCGACCCTGTCTCAAAACAAAACAAGAAAACCTAAAAAAATCCCAAAAAACAAGAAAACCTTATTCTGCCCTTGCCTGTTAGCCCTGAAAAGCAGCCTAGATCTGAGCTTCTTAGGCTGGAGAATTAATCAGCTAATGAGTTTCCTTCTTTCCTCAGGGCTGCCAGCTGTGAGCATGCCGGCCGCCCTGTCACACCAGGGGCTGCCAATCGGGCTGCAATTTATTGGACGTGCATTTTGTGACCAGAAGCTTCTCACAGTTGCCAAATGGTTTGAAAAACAAGTACAGTTTCCTGTTATTCAATTTCCAGAACTCATGGATGGCTGTTCATTAGTCTTTGAAAATGAAAAGTTAGCTTCTGTTTCTCTACAACAGTAGTGATAAATGTGTCATGTGCAAATTAAAATGATTTTTAAAGATTGTGTATTTAAAGTATCAAATGATATTGCTCAAGTCTTGTAATTCGGTTCATTGTCAATGGAATCATTCCTTGGATTCACTTTTTAAGATTCCTGTGATAATTATAAAACTCAGCATTTATTAAACAGCTGCTAAGTGCAAAGCACAGGATTTCTACTATAATATAAAATACATGTTCCTGAAAAACAGTATAGCACAAAAATGTTCCTTAATTAGAAAAGAACTTGGGTTGGGGGGATTTAGGTCAGTGGTTCTGCCGCCTGCCTCACAATCACAAGGACCCAATTTCGATCCTTAGTGCCAAAAAAAAAGAACAAGAAAAGAACTTAAGCTTGGGAATAGACTTTTCAAAATTTTTATATCTTTATAACTAAAGCCCTCAAAAAACAAAAAATAAGAGCTGTACCTCCAGACATAACTTGTGTGGCCCAGGCAGGCAGCTCATCAAGGAGGTGGAGCCTGCCATGTGGGGTGTTACAAACGTACAGAAGCGGTCACACAGCATGTTTCTTGTGAACACTAAGCAAAGCAGGTGGTAGAGGCTGAGCATGGGAGAAAGTGCAACCTACAAAGGGCCCAGATTCATGCAGGACTGGAGGTCCCCCTCTCCGGGGAAAACCCCAAGTGCAGGCCCACTTTCTCTAAAACTAGAGCCAAAATGACAGGACTTTTTATTTTTCCTTTCCACCTTACTGCCCTGGGGCCCATAGGGGCCAGAACAACTATTAACGTGAGTTCATTCTGTTAACCAACCACAAACAAGCTCTTTGATGTTTCAGGAGCATTTGTTGTGACCTAACAGACAGAATGTATTGGATGGAAACTCGATAGATGGTAGAGCATGGTTTTAGTGAGAAAGGTTGAAAAATATACAAATAACAATCTGAGAGGGCTGGGGATTTAGTTCAGTGGTTCTGCCACCTACCTTGCAGGCACAAGATCCCAAGTTCGATCCCTGGTAACCCCACCACCACCACCAAACAAAACAAAACACAATCTGAGAAACTTGCAGACAGTTTGGTGAGGAAGCCACAAAACTCTTCCTTGACAGAGTCTCTTCCCTGTGGACTCCTTACCCTCCTGTCTCTATTATGTTCCTAACTTGGGCCTGTTAAGCCCAAAGAGACATTACTAGAGATATCCATTCAGTATTTGACCAGATCTAATGGAGACCATACATTTACTCTCCAAGGCCATCGCTGACTTTGCTAGAACGCCACTCTCATGTTATCCAGGCATTCTAATTGGGCACTTATATTTTGTTGATAAAAGTAGAAGGCCAAACTGTTATTACACATTAAAATCATACTAGTAAGAAAAAAGCTTTTCTAAATGAAGTACATGAGTCAGGGGGTTGATGCACACCTGTAATTGCAGCCCTTGGGAAGCTGAGTCAGAAGAATCCCAAGTTTGAGGGCAACTTAAGACTGTCTCAAACTTTAAAAATTAAAAAAGGGCTGGGGTTGTAGCTCAGTGGTAAAGAATCCTAGGGTTCACTTTTCAGGACCACAAAACAAATAAAAGCATGGAAAAATAAAGGCAGGATCACTGGAATGTTTTGGGAGGCGGATTTAACCTGCCTGTTGCAGTTCATTAGTAAGTTGCCTTTGGTGCATCCCTGAGCCCCAGCCTTGGTCCTTTTTTTATGAGACGGCCTCTAAGTTGCCAAGGCTGGCCTTGAATTTGCAATCCTGCTGCCACAGCCTCCCAGTTAGCTGGGATACAGACGTGTGCCATTGTCTCTGTCTCTTATTTTCCTTTGGGTTTATTCCGTGGTTTTGTTCCTTAAGAAACTTTCTGCAGGGCCGGGGATTTAGCTTAGTGGCACCACACCTGCCTTGCAAGTGCAAGGTCCTGAGCTCGATCCCTGGTACCAAAAACCCCAAAACTTTCTGCAGTACTAAGGCTTGAACTTAGGAAAGGTAAGCGCTCTACTGCAGAACAACACTCCCAGCCCCTCCCTAAGTTCTTCCTCCTCCCACTCTCAAATACTCAATCTGATTACATAAAAGCTTAATGTGCCAAATAATGGGAACGGAAATGAGGGAGGGAGAAAAGAAGGAAGGTACAAGAAAAAATAAGTGACAATAGAAGGAAAAAATGGAAACAAAGCTTTTGTACATAGGGAGAAAGAGGGCTTAAGGGGGAGAAAGAGATAAAATATTTTTTTAAAAAGCTTAATGTGCCAGGCTCTTGGAAATATTGAGTCCAAATCCTGAAAGAAGTCCATAAGAAAGAAAATTATGTTACAGTTGGCCTTCCACAAGGGCAGGTACAACCGACCACCGATGAAAAGTACTCCAAAAAGAAAAAAAAAATTTTTTAATTCTAGAAAGTTCCAAAAATCTAAACTTGAAAGTTTTGCCTTGTGCTGAGTACTAAGCTGAATGCATGCAGATGAAGAGATGTACAGGTATTAGATATTCTAATCTAGAGATGGTTTAAAGGAAGGTATATATATATATAGGTTATCTGCAAACCTGTGCCATCATAGGTAAGAGAGCATCTGCGGGGATTGTGTCGGGGGTGGGGGTGGGGTCCAGAAACCAATGTCTGGGATACTGAGATGTGACTAACAAGAGGAAGCCATCTTAGTTGAAGGAGCTAATATGAAATAAAAAGTAAGATAAATCTGCCCCACTCTTTTTTTATGTGTAAATAATTTGGAATGAAAAAACATTTTCAAAAAATATTTACTCTTTTGTCCCCATATCTCAACTTGGGCAGCATTAATGGTTCTGAAAACAGAAGTGCAGCATTCTCAGAATACTATCTAACCAGTGTGAGATGACACCTCATTTGTATTTCTCCTCCACTTTTACCCTAAACGTAGTAGATCTCGTCTTGCCAAGTCTTGGAATTTAAGTGGCAAATACTTTCTGTGCCTCAGCTAATTAACCCCTGAGCTTGTCAGCAACACAGTGCTTCTGAAAGGCAAAGCTGGCTACAAGTGTAAGCTGTCATTTCATAAGACCCAGCCAATGAACCAAACAAAAGAGTAAAAGTTAGAGTCCACAGCAAAGCCCTGCCAGGTGAAAAAACGTTATGCCATAGAACTTGGTACCCTCACACCAGCGGAGCCAGAGGAGCAAGTGGAAAAACCACTGTCACATGCTGGCCTGTACTTGGCTTTACTGAGAAAATCACTTGAAACCAGGGAGGCAGAATGTTCCCTTTGAATGGCTTTTTTTCTTCTTTTTCTTTTTGGTACTAGGGATTTGAACTCGGGACCCTGTACTTGTAAGGTAGGCACACCGCCACTGAGCTAAATCCCCAGCCCCTTGGAGGGCTCTTTGATCACAGGTCCTTTGCTAGTGACAATGAACTTGGGCCGTCTAGAAAAATGTTGCATATCTCAGAAGAGGAGCTTCCAAAAATGACAAAAAGTGATGATTTCTGTTAGGAAAAAAACCTTGTACCTTCTAATGTAAACAAGTGCCTTCAGAATGTTAGACTATCCAAGCCAGGTGTGATGGCGCACGCCTGTAATCCCAGCACTTGGGAGGCTGAGGCAGGAGGATCACTGTGAGATCGAGACCAGCCTGCAGTCATCTCAACTACATAGTGAGACCCTTAAAAAAAAAAAAATGTCAGACAATCCAAAGTACAGTAAAAGAAGGTTCCAGGGTACCAATCAGTGTATGTCACAAGGTGTCTACCACTTAAAGCAAGGGAGCAAAATAATGCAATTGTAAATTACCTTTATGATGGACATTCATTCCTTAACTTGAAACCTCCTTCCCCCTTCCTTGGATACATGATTACCTATACTAGGATTAAATGTGTGTTACCCTCATGTGAAAGCCAAAGGTACAATTTATTCACTGCATTTAGCTTTCCTCAGTTATTTCATAGCTTAAACAGTGTGTACATTAGAACAGAAACCTAAAAATGTAATAAAAGTATATGAGAAAAACCCAGCCAACATCAAGTAAAAGTATTTACTACAGAGTTTCAGAGTGTCTTTCTTTCTTTCTTTCTTTGTACTTCAGCGGAACATAAATCCAAAAGGATCTTAGGCCATTTATTAGAAATATTACAGAGGTTTAAAATCAAACAGTTGAGGAAATTGGTAAAATGATAATAAAAGTAAGGATGAAGGGTAAAACCAGGACCAAGATTAAAGACAAAAGTGCTCATTGTGGTACGTGTACAGATGCTTAAGGCTGTGTAGTGTGTGGTATAGTGGGCAGTTCCCCACTAGCTTTCCCAGTGTGGTAAGGCTGTCAGACTGAATAACCAGGCAGACCCTGGTTTGAATCTTATCACTGCCATTTACAAGCGGTGTCCTTTGTCTGAGCTGTGGTGTCCTGGTCTGTAAAATAAGAATAATATGGCTTCCATGGGGTAGGGTTAGGCTTAAATGACTCACCCAGAACACGATGCCTGACAGAATAGGCACTCAATAATTTGTAACAACAAATAAAGGCATGCAGTCATGAATTAAGGTTACGGTAAACTAATGGCATATGGCCAAATTATAATTTACTAAAAGCTTATTCTAGAGACCAGTTATATACCTAGCTGATGATGTGGCATTCTTTGAAGACAAGGCTTAAAATATCTAGAAGAACTGATGCATTGCATATTTCAAAACTGATTTCCATAGCTACCACATTGTTCCGAAACCTAGTGGCCGTCCAAGGCCCTCACGCTGTGACAACCAGATGAAGAGTGGGGCTGACTGGGCCCTTTAAGAATGAAGGCTCTGCAAAGATGGTCACCCCCACATTTCATCAGAGAAAGTGTTTTTGACAGAGCCAAATTCTTCCTCATAAAAATCAGTTCCATTCCAACATGCAGACAGCTAATTGTGGCTCCAAAATACTATATCCCAGGTGCAATTACTTTGACAAGGCAAAATTCTAAGGTAGATGCTATCAACAGCCCATCCCTATATCGATCTAGGAAAAGATGTTAATGAAGTACCCATGGGGCATCTAATTGTAAGCAATTTCACTCCCTGGTGAATCTCTCAAGATAAATTAATTGCAAAATAGGCCTGCAGATAAATGAATGATATGATAGGCTTGGTGGCAGATATCTTCCAAAATGATAACAATTTCGGCATAGGTCACTTAGCAGGACCAGTTGTCTGTAAACCACTGTGTGTATGTGTGTAAGAAATACAAGTGTTTGCATGTAAATTATCCAAAATTGGTTAAGTAATTAGCATACAAACTAAAGGAAGTGAAGCTGGAATTCAGAGTTTGAAGACCTACAATAAACTAGGCTAGGGCCTGGATTTCAGCTCAGTGGAGCTGCTGCCTGCCTAGCAAGTTCAAGGACCGGAGTTCA